CCGACGCTCAAAAATAAATAAATAGGCGCGAAGGCTCCTCAAGACTCGACGAGGACGTCTCGACTTCACTTTATGACCTTACGAGGATTACTCTATAACACAGGATGACTCGCCGAGGATGACTCGATGAGGTGCATTACTTGGCGAGAATTACTCCATGAGACACGTTGACTCGACGAGGATGACTCAACGAGGGTGACTCAACGAGGGTGACTCGACGAGGGTAATTCGACGAGGGTGACTCGACGAGGGGACGACTCGAAGAGGACGACTAGGCGAGGATCACACGACGAGGCAAGATGATTCAACGAGACTACTCTGAGTCATAAGGGAGGGACATCTGTTTTGCGAATTGTTTTGACGAGTTTATTTTATTTTTTTTTTTTCAATCATTTGAAATGTTCAGTCTATTATTAATTACATTTATGGCCAATCCATTGTTCTTCTTATTATAGGCACATTTCATTTCATTTCATTTAGTATAATTATATTGTCAGCCTTCTCGCCTGCCAATTTTGTAACCTGAATGATAATGGTGTGGATGGTTTTCTCCATTTTATTTCAAGATCACGAGTTCAATGCAACTAACTGCAGGCATAAACATTGATGCGCTTTCTCTCCTTGCCTTCAAATTTATTTTTCCACCTTCTAATGTTAACAAAAGACTATTCATAAAGAGAGAGAGAGAGTACTAGTAGTAGAGAGAGTCCCGAAAATCTTTAGAATGAGTTAGAGTCACTATTTAAAAGAGCTGTGTCGCCAAATTTACCCCCAAATTGAGTGAAAGATAAAAAATTAACTGCTCAAAAGTGGGTATAAATAACAAAGCAATAACATGTGGAGTAGAGGAAGGGATGGAGAAAGTTGAAAAACATTTAGACAGAAATCAGCAAGGTTTTTTTCTATTGCTTATGTACCAGAGAATATTTGTGAGATAAGTGTCTGACATTGTCCGCGGATTAGGATCTCCCTTTTTTTCCTATAACAATACACTTTATACAGGTGTTTATAAGAATATCGAGCTGAATATGTTAAGACTAAACCCCCGGCTGAGACTTTGAGAAAGATAAAATTTTGTGGTTTAAAACCTGTAAATACAATACAATTATATATCTTCAACTTACTCCATTCTCCAAACGGTGAAACTTGCAACAAAATGAAACTGAAAAATTACCCTTACTATAATATATAAAACCCCAATCTATCCAGTTTCTACTATCAGGTCATGGGCTTTCCTCGTCGCATTTGTGAATTAAACTCAGGATAGACGCATAGACGGTTGTTTTTCCTTCATTTAGCACTAAGCTTGCCTTAAATAAAAAAAAAATGTAACCCTACTTTTTAAGTAAGTTCATCGGCAAGTTAAAATTAGCCAATAACCTAATGGGGAAAGCTCTTTCGCCATGATACTGATAATGTATTTAAATTAATACATTTTCTATTTTATTGCTGGTATGCACGTGACGTCACGGCGGCCATGTTGGTGGTCAAGAACAAAAGCATTTTTCTCCTCTGGGAACTAAACTCTATTTTCATGTAAATTCTTCGAGGAAATATTCTTTTGTTTTGACCCCCAACATGGCCGCCTTGTCACGTGGTTGCAAACCAAGAATTTGACGATGATCATACAGATGGCATTAGTTGTGCATGCGAAAACTATGATGTAAATTTTGCAAAATTTCCACTTCAAATCAGAAACGCATTATACTGTTGTAATCATGAAAGGCAGCAGGCAAAATTTCAAATTTGAACTCTTAGGGCCTTTCATGAAGGTGGGGGACCCCAGGAAGGTGAGGTAACCCGCCTGTCCATATAATCTGTCATTTTAATTTGATTAACAATAGAAAGCAACAGGACTAAAAGTTGCAGCAAGAGCAGCAAGTGAGAGCAGAGAAGCCAAAACGCGTGGTTTGCCAACATTTTTCTTGTTCACGTGTTAAACGGGTAGTACGATTGCATGTAGAGGCGGGTTCTTTTCTAACCCCACCTAAGCGGGTTACCCCACCTACCTCGGGTCCCCCACCTCCTTGTACTGTCAAACGCAGAAAAAGGTGAACGCCTGGAAAGTTTCGCGGGCGCCCGGTACTTTGAGGGAAAAAGAAAACAAGCTTAGCAACTCGACAAATAGTGTTTAACACAATCTAAGAATCAGTGGTCATCCAAACGAGAAACGACGGTCAAAGCTGTTGGCTCATTGTCAAAGTGGAAAAATAGAACTGTATCTTTGCGTAAACTAATTAGATTATTTAAGCGCACACTTTGTTCATTTGCCTATTCGATATTTTTAAAGTTATCATAACTATAGCAAAATTCTCAAATCTGATTGGCAATCAACTGCCATGCTTTCAGCACTAACAGGACAGTACGCGCGCACTTAAATGGCCTTTTTTTCACTGCTTGGAATTTCTTGTGTTTTGAGTTAAAAATAGAGCCTTGTATTATCACAAATTTTGTTAAAGTTAAGATTAATGGGTAGGAGAACTTCATGTAGTCTAATTCGGTCTGTAATCATACTAAAAAATTATTGGATGAGGTTTTTGTGATAATCAAGGTCGAGGTAAAAATCATACACCGCGGTCATACATGACATGATTACCCGTGACGTCGAGTTTAGATGACGTCCCAAGCGCTGCTTTCGAAATCTCACTGCACGCTTTCGGCCAATGACAAATGAGATAGTGAGTTAAATGTACAATAACAGACCAAATTGGACTCCACTCGGTCCTCTTCCTATTACAAATTAAACACTTAAGAAATCGGAAATTAAAAACTGCATCATTCTTGGCCATTAATTGGCAATTAATTTATTCAGCTTCAATTCTTAATGTTCCCGAAGATATCGCAAGCACAGTGAAAACAAAGTTTTTAGTTTCTTATGGAAAACAAAAGGGATAAAATTAAACGAACTGGGCTCTATCAGGATCTGGGAAGAGGCGGAATATGTATGGTAGACATCGACATAATGTTTAAAGCTCTAAAACTAGCCTGGATTCCAAGATTACTGACTCCAGGGAACCAGAATTGGAAAACAGTTCCTGATTATTAAACTACGATGCGAAATACATAAAATCTATTCCATTGTTTTACCGAAATATTCTAGTATACTTCAGTGAATTAAAAACTCTGTACAGCTTTGATCAAGCACAAAATATAATTCTATTCAACAACAAAGAAATTCTTGTTGACAGTAAAACCTTTTTTATCAGGGAATGGTTTAAAAAAGATATCCTGTCAATACAAGATCTCTTACACAATACCGGTCAACCGATGACCTATCAGGAATTTACGAATAAGTATTCCTGTAAAACTAACTTCCTTCAATACTATCAAGTTATTAGCGCTATCCCAAAGCACCTATTAGCTAAAGCAAAATCAACGAAGCCAATTAATAAAGAGTTATATTCTGATAATAATCTTAGTCTACAATTACATGAATAGATAACTCTATATCTGAACAAAATCAAGACTAGCGACTTCTATACGTTATTATGCACAAAAATCCACACAACAGGTCATTCTGGGCCACAGAGATGGAGAAAAGATCTTTCCTTGGATGAAGATAAATGGGAAAAAATATTCACCTCCCTAAAAACCGTCTGTAGAGAGACCAAATTAAAGGAATTTCAATATAAATTAATCCACCGAATTGTAGTCACCAAAAAGGAACTTTACCGCTATGGAATCAAGGAAGATGATGAATGTATATATTGTGGTGAAAAAGACTGTATTAATCATACTTTTAGAGATTGTCATTTCGTCAAGATTTTCATTCAACGGGTTATCAACTGGTTCAATATAGAAAACAAGATCAATCTCAACCCATCTAGCGAAGAAAGACTGTTCGGCATCCTCTCGGACTTACATGAAAAGGTACTAGTAAGGAAATTCAATTATACCATGTTGTTTATGAGATACTACATCTACGCCAACAAACTACACAACAAACCAATTCTCCTCCAAGACTTCGTTGGTAAAATGATAATTAAATACAGAATTGAAAAGCTATAAAAAAAACATGAAAAGTAACTCCTCTGACCTTTTTTTTTTTTTTTTTTTTTTTTGTGTGTGTGTGTTTATGGGGGGTGTGTGTGTGTGATGTACTAGAATTGTAAGTAGTGTAACCATTGTAATTATTAGTAGTACGAGCATCGTATGGATGGTATTGTCAGTATAGCCAATATTGTAAATAGTGCAAGTATAGTGAATATTGTTAGTAGTATTTAGTTTCAGTAGTGTTTAGTACTGTAAACATTTAATATATGTCTGTAAGGCAAAAATAAATTAAAAAAAAAAAAATCATTCTTGGCCATCATTGCCCACTTCATTCTTTGACTTCTTCCTCCTTTTGCGCTTCTTCTTTTATTTTTTTCGTTGTTTTCCCTATGAAAATAAAAAATTTAATCTTACATCGCACGGTTGTTTCCAAACCAGCTTTCTGGTTTGGGAAATTCAAGCGGAGTGCTTAACGGCTCTTTTGCGTGTTCTTGCCTTATTCTCAAGTCATTTGCGCTTGTACGTTTGATAAATATAATGATGACTGTCCTATGAAAGGGGTTATAGGTCACTACCGCTAAAAAAATTGCTGTAATTTAATAATCTAAAGTACCAGTAGAGTGAAAGAAGGAAACCCTAGGCACGAAGTACAGAAACTGATTTTTTTTTTTTTTTGGATAAATCGCTCATTTCATGTCCTAAGCATTTATACTGTGATCATCAACAACCGGCTACAACGTAAACAAAAACAATATTCTAACGAATGTGCTATTTTTTTGCACGGAAGAGAAAGAAAAAAAATCTAGCAACAAATTCCCAGTAACATTTACAGTACCTTTTTCTGTGACACCACCTTCCTCTTTTCGCCTCTTTGCCTCAGGTGGACCTTAGTGTTTAATACCAAAAAAACTACATATTCAGTTTCTTGTAAAGAACGTTGTTATGGTGTGGAAAATGGTTTGACTTGTTTTGTTGTACTGTGGGAATGACAGCTACAGAAAGTTGAATTAACTTAATTCCATACCTACACCTCCCATGGCATCATCATCCTTTATTTCATCTACAAAGTCAGTTAAATAGTCAATATAAGAAAAAGTTTAAAGAAAATCAAGTAACCTGAATTTTTAATATAGACGTAACATAATGATAAAGAAATTTAATGTGCATGAGTAGACTGTTCAAATTAAATCGCTCATTGACTTTTATGAATCTTCATCTTTTGACAATCTGTTTATTATTATTGATCCAGGATTGCTTTAAACTAATGAGAGATGATTTTTTTTTCGCAAGCTCTGAGCTGGATCACTAAGAACTTTGTAACTTTGTAATTTATCACGGAGTCTGTTCGAGTCATTTTATGCATGGGACTTGAAGAATTCATTAATTTCCACGTCACCACTTCATATCACGTATACAAACGTTATCTTTGGAAGTCTTACCGGGTAAGGTTGAGGACAAATCCTCAGTGCCCTTTGGCAATGATCCTCTTAAGGAAACCTGTGCAAAACAAGGACGCAAGATCAGCCCACTGTACACACTGCGTAATTCTATGTGATGTTTCTTAATCTAAACATAAATTGGACTAATACTAGAAGGCTTTCTAATATATCATGATACTGTTGTAATCATGAAAAGCAAGGTGCTAAATTTCAAATTTGCTATTACTATTACATTACTATAACTATTATTACTAATTTAAATATTACATTTTTTGTCCAAAGGAACAGTCAATGGGCATAGGGGAAGATAATTCAGAGACTTTTTTGAGTACAGTGGTGCTATATTCCATAGGCCTTAGAGCAATAATAATTACCTCAGAATCAAGGAATGAAAGCATTTCTTCCTCTTCCTGTACAAGATAATAATCACACCACTTACAGTTAAGACATGGACTGTTCTTTTGGATGTTACATAATTTTTGTGTAAGGGTTAGAAACCTGAAATATATCTTTCTGTAGGAACCAGGTGATCATTTAATGATACTTTACTTGGATTAAATTATTACTGTTCTCTTGCTACCCTCTAGCATTTAATGTCACCCGCATCTTCACTTTCTGATGGTGCTTATGTCCTCCATTGAGGCAAAAAACAATAATAATAAGAATAATATTTTCATGTGTAGATATGTGTACTGAACACTGTCCATGTACTGTAGATGGTATAGATACACTGGGTGGGATTTTTAAAGCCTTACGGGCCTATTAATCTATTAGCCTGGATCTTCTATTTTAAAACAAGTCCATCTGTGAAACAGCACCAAAACCCTTATCCTTGGCCCACTACTGTGTACCAGGATTTGGGTATCTTTGAATAGGTGTGAGTAACTTTAAAAAAAACTATTGTCAATTTGCCATTCAGGTCAAAGAGAAATTTCCAACGCATTTCTGGTAAACAACTTTTTAAATAAATAAGGAGGAAGGATAAACAAATTATCAGCATTACACACCACGGTTTGATTACATTTGTGACGCAGGATATGCCTCTGTAATATCATTGCCTTGGGATATTAATTTTACGATATTTGTCTACGATTATTGTTACGTGTATCTCAAGCAATACATACATAAGTGGGTAACTTGTTAAACGGGTTGAGTGTTGTCCAGCCTAGTTAACCTTCCCAGAAAAATTGGTTTGTAATTTCACTATTCATGATTGCCTCGATTCATTGTTTAATATTAATATACTCACTCGCTCCTGTACGTGGAGTAAACAGTGTCCTTCAACAGGATCCTCTAGCTTCTTCACCCCTCCCCCTCCATGCAGGGTAAAAAAGAGGGGCCGGCCATCCTGGTAGCCAACCCAGTCATAGACTGCCTATAAAAAAAAAAAGCAAAAAAGTATTTTAGTAATTTATCTCAATAGAAGGTTTTTTTTAAGGCCATTAAAAGAATCCATCTCTTTTAAGTTGAAATGACCGTCATACAACATACATGGCCGATTGATTTGTCAGGAGGCAGAGTAACATGTAACAGTACCTGTATTTTCTATATTTTAAAAGTTTGAATATTCCCAGAGATACATATGTACACTTCAAATTAGCAAGAGCTTGTACCTGGTAACATGATTCCTTCCTAATGTAGCGGCTAATGCGCTCACCATTTGCAAATTTGACAATTACATGCCAACCAGCTTTGTCTTCGTTCAACACTCTATTGCGCCTTGCCTCTCTTATAGCCCGCTGCAAAGGAAAAAAAGAGTATAATATTCTAATATTCTTGCGGTTTTGAGAGAGTTCCTACTCACAGAACATTTTTTTAAAGAGAGCAGATAGTTCTACAGGCAAGCTCACTGAAATAAAAATACCTAGCTAATTATTCTAAAAATTATTATTAGTCCGCACTTTTATTTGAAATACAGCTTTCCATGCCCATTCTAGATTCTTAAATGAAAAATTGAGTTCCTAGTTTTAAAAAGGAATCTACAAATATTATACTTACCTCTTTACTCATATCTTCTTCCATCTTAAAAAAAAACGAAAGAAAGAATCTCATGTTATTTATATGATCTAACCTGTTCCAGACGTTTAGATAGTGGGGAACAAGTTAGATTGTAAGCAACAAGTGCAAAAGAAACATGAGGGGAAACAAAAAGGAGGAGAGACTGGGGATTTTTTCCCTCATCAATGTTTAGTCCATGCCCAACTTTGCCCACCCTTCCCACTACCTGAATGTCTGGGACAGGCTAAGGGGATCAAACAATGTTAATATTGTCAGGTTAATTTCTTACAAAAGAAAAGTGCTGGGTTCAAAACCCTGCATCTGGGACTCACACAGGCACTATTGTAGCTTTGTCAGTCCCAGCTGCTAGTTTATCCTTAAGAAGGAGCATTTTTCTGCACCAATTCCAAAATGATTGATTTTAAGCCTGTGATTGAAAATGATTTGAATTTTTCAACCTTTGTATATTGTATGCAAGATATTGCTTTACCTCACTAGTTCTAGTCTCATCATCTTCTTGCTGCAAATAAATAGAAAGTTGAAATATTACTACAATGTATAACATTTTTTTCATCAATTTTGAGGTCCTAAAGCTTCGCTTTCAAGATAACAACAGAGTTGAATTTTTTTTCCATTTTGGTTTGCAAATCTAAAGGATTTTTCTTTGAAGATAGTTACTAGATAGACAGCAGACAACAAGCCCAGTTTCTTTGTTTTAATTCAACAGTTATTGGTACGAACTAACTTTTCATTGATGGAATCAACTTCTGGTCAAGATAATATACATTGACTGTGGTCGACACAGTCATAAACTGAATTTGATAGTCTTATTGAATTAATGTCTCATTGTGATTAATGGAAATTCTCTAAAATTGCCTCAAAAATAGTGACTTACCTCACAAGTCTCCACTTTTTCCTTCTAAAAGTAATAAAAAGACAAGTAAGAGTGACCCTTTTTGTATTTTATTTGTTTTGTTTGTTTCTTTACATTTTTTGTTATTATCTCCTCAACAGCCCGTTCATGTGCATGTTCTATGCTGCAGTACTAGCTGCTATCTGCAATTAATTTGTGTTGGGGAGTATGAACTAATGTAGCATAGGCAAGCTATTTAATTTATTCAATGAAAATGGTTATTTGTAATTCCTTAATTCTTTGCACAACAAATGTTTACTCAAGGCACTTCACACTGTGTTTGTCTGGGATGCCACAACAAGTAAAAAGAAATGATTCATCAATGTATAGTACTCTAGTTAAATGGTAGTGAAACCTCTACCAAAACTATTAGTTTCAGTGTTTGGCAGACATTTACCACACCATGCATAGTTATTAAATATTAAGCCTTTCAATAATTTTATCCACAGGGAATCCATTTTCTGGTATTAAGCAGGTCAACAAAAAAAATACAACAGGTTGTATTGAATGACTCACTCACCTCATGAATGTTCTCCTTTTCATTCTAAAAGTAAAATTAATTGGAAAAATAAAACAATAGGTAAACATAAGAATAGTTTCTATAGGTAACGGCAAGTGATATTTTATACGCAATTTCACAAGCCGTTAGGCGAGTGAAATTTGAGACAATTTTGAAATATCACAAGTGACATTTACATGTATTTCCAATATCACATATCATGCTATTGTTTGTTTATACTACTATCCACAAAAGGTTTGTAGGTATTTCAAATTAAGGTGAAGTATCACTGTTCTAAGCCAATCAAAATGCAGAAATTTCTCGTGTAGTAGTATAGGTGCAATTATATAGCTGAAGAACTGATTACTATATGTATTCATGCTCTAGGCTCCACTGGTTGGAACTAAGAGGTGGTAAAAATTTCAAAAGAAGCTATTTCATTAAATTAACCTTCTTCTCTTTGTCCCTCCTCAACGATTCATCCAGCTCCTTCTTCTGTTGCAGGAGAAGGTCTCTTCTCTGATATTCCTTATCACTATCATAAGGATGAGATAAAAATTACTCTTGACAAATATCATTGACTCTGGATTGTAAATGGAATCAAAATTCTCCAGTGACTGTACCACCCGTTGCATCTTCTTATGAGATGTACTGATGTATGTTTGTAAACTTGAGCTTTTAACATTGTCACAGATAAAAATAACAATAACAATAATAAAAACAACAACAACAACAATAAGAATGATCAACAACAAACCGATAGGATCTTAGTGAGCCCAATGCTGCCTTTCCCCTCTCTATCGCTTCTCTCATCCCTCTTACATCTTGAAGGGACTGCCCTGTAATTGCATAAAGGAAAGTGACTTACAATCGTTATCATCCTTTCTTTCCTGGATTCCCTTGTTAAGAAGAAATTAAAATGACGTGTAAATTATGCTGTTTAGTTTCAGAAAATATTATAAACTAGTCATGGTCTGTGAAAAAAAAACAGTTGAAAAATTCAATATTAATTTATATTCCTGTAGTAGTTTATTACATTAATCAAGGCGCTAATGCATGTAACCTGGTTGCCTTTTGCCTAGTTTACTATTTACCTACATTCTTTATAATGTAAATTTTTATGAAGGAGCAAGCTTTTGATCAGTAAGACAAGACAGTAGAATACCAATGTATTCTGCCTTGTGCAGGGTACAAAATATAATCTTTTGTTGAGAAATTTTTTTTTAATCTCACCTGAGAAGCGATCCACAAGAACTGGATTCAGAGGTGCTGTCGAGGGGGCAACAACAAACACCTCAGAGTCTTTATTGTTGTCCCCAAATTTTTGTTTCACTGGAAAGAAATACAAAATCGTCCACATCAAAGATATTATATACTGATAAACTTCCAAATTATCTATAAACTAAACTATCACTTGACAGTACATAATTATGAAGTAGTCAAGTCTATGGCCAAGTGAGCATTTGATCATGTTGAGAATCTCTGTTATTATTCTTTTTTTTTTTTCCATTTATATATAAAATCAAATTTTTTTTTTCATGCATAGAAACTATAGACAAAGCCACGGATAGATAAGACACAAAAAACCCTCTTTCGATCATCTATCTTTAACTAATAATGGCGGCCACACATATGCATGTACAGTTTTACATGTTTTATTTAACTTAGATTTATGTACTTATAATCTCAGGAATTATTTGTTCTATTTTTCACCTGGTAAATACATTTGCAAACAGAGATATCAATAAAGTTAATGTAATACAAACTGCTGAGGCACAAAATTGTGACATAAATTTCTTGACGACTTGATCACAAGCATATTAATCACCTTGTCTTCCATTTATTGACTCTGCCATCCCCAACCAAAAATAAACATCACTAGCTTCGGAGATGCCATTCAGAAGCCTTTGGGAAAACAAGAAACCCTTGATGTTATTTACACATGTTGAAATATTTTGTATTTGCGATTACTAACAATAAGGAACTATAAATTCTCTTTATGGATGAGTAAATAAACAATAACAAATAAACAATGCAAGAATAGTTACTCTAGCAGTTACAGGTGGCTCCTGCAAGGTGTTATTCGTTTAACTTATAATATAGTAAATTTTAATTATTTAGAAAAATACTTTGCAGTACTTGCATAAGGTTGGATAACTGGTCAGAGTAGCTGGTAGAAGGTTAGGTATCTTAATCAAAACCACTCTCAAGTTGAAATTCTTAGAATGACAGAGCCATCATCATTCCAAATGGATCCATTTTTTTTTATTCAAACAGTGAACTTGCTAGATATTATTCAATGTAGTGTAACCAAAACTTTACGTCTATTACTATAAATGGGCTTCGGCTCACACCATCTAAGTAGCTAGTGATGCCCACCATAACAGTCATGCCCTCTGTTTTATATATCTATACGTGGTATGGGTTTTAACTTTATGCAGTGATACACTCAACATTCTAGTTTGTAAAAAGACTAAAATTTTCAAATAGAATTAGTGTTTGTAATCACCTTGCAAGATGACTATCATTTCCTTGATGTGACATTATCACTAAAACAATTATCTTTCCATCTTGGGAAGCTTGATGGCATATCTACATGATTGCAAAATGAAAAAAAAAAAATAATATTAATATAGTTTAACTAGTCCTTGCCTTCTCTGCACACCTCAAGGGACATTAATTTTTGCCCTATAATAATAGTGGAACATTAGACAACACACTCAGGGAAAGGGGGAATAGGGAAGGGAATGGGTGGGGGGGGGGGGGGGGGGAATAGGGAAGGGAAAGCTTTATTTTTTTCCTTTTGAAGTCGGTAAAATGCCAGGAAGGCGCTTTAGGACAAAGAAAAGTGTCTCAACTAATTTGTCGTCAATTGAAGGGCGAGGTCGAGGTCATTTTTTTCTCTTGTCCATGTTTTTATTTAAATTACCATTTTATCTTAAACAATGTGATTATAATATTGGATTCTGTTATTTCTAGGTAAAAAATATATGTTGCTTAAATCAGTAACAACCAAGCACCATCGAGTGATGTTAAGTATTTACAAACCTCTTCGAAAGACAGATTCAAAAACACGGGCAAACCCCCAATGTTCTGTTGCCTAAGGGTTCTCTCACATATCATCTGTTCCCCCGTTCGTTCTAATTCTGTAATTGCTGCAAAATGCAAAGATTAACTTAAGGTCAATTTGTTACAGATTCCCAACATTCTAAAAGTGACCTTTACAGATTTTTGTGCCAGGTTTAGTGGCGAACATTTGATCTGCTAATTCACACAAGTACGTGAAATGTCGACTATATATACCTCAGTACATTGTAACTGCTTTGATCATGATCCAGCATGTATCAAATCTCATTAAAAGACCCTTGGTCTCCATGACAAAGATAGAAAAGAAGGTTATACTCTTACAGCTATAGCACAGAAGTAAGCACACATTTTGATGTCAAAACCTTTTTTAAATTGCATGCAAAATTCAAAGATTACAAAGAACAATATTATTATCTGCCTAGTACCATTGTTAAGGGACAATCCATCGTCAAGAAGACCAACTTGGCTGGTATTACGACTCACTGTTCCCACTGAAAAGACAATAAATGTGAATCAATACGAGGAGAAAATAAAGCAAACATATAATTATTATATATTCCTTGTATTTGGTTCAATCTACTGCCTGTTTACCCCTTTCTCAAAGATATTTTTGGGTCTAAACAGAGGCAGGGGGTGGGGGAAGGATATATCAAAAGAGAAATGTACCTGTTTCCCAATCTTCTTCGCGAGACGGGTCAGCTGACATCACTGCTATATGAGATCAAAATATAACATTATGCATTTTGTAAAACACCAAAACTATAACATGTACAGAATTATAACAAATGATTTTCGAACAGAGGCCATCTTTTTCTTCCACAGGTAGGATTGCAATGCTAGGTGTAATCAGTACATGGTCACTAAGGCAGTGGTTTTCTACTCATAAGACAGCTGCGTGCACTGGATGTAGCTACACATGTCAATATAACATCCCAAATTTATTGCCAAATCTGTCTGTCTCTCTTTAATATTTTTTTTAAAATAATAACTACTGACTATTAAGTTTGATAATCTGACTTAATATTTAAAAAATGTGCTCCAGGAGAAAGCGGCATGAGCCTGTGCAATTTTGGTAGTCCATCGTAATAAGATAAATTTCACTTTTTTTGTTAAAAAAAAAAGAAACAAAATTAATATAAATTATATAAAAAATGATGGATGTCTTAAAGTTTCTTAAAAGCTAGAATTAATGGGCCTAGAGGTGAGCAAGAAAGCTGCTTGCTTTCAGGTCAGCAAGCACTGCAAGACCTGAAACAGCCTCGCATTACATTTATCCCTTTAGATAATGCTCATTTATTAATTATGCTCAGAATGAGTAATGTCTCGTAAATTGTGTACTTGTACTTCACAGTGTATCGCTACTAGATACTATTGTATAAATAAACTGACCACATTTTTCATAACAGCTGATATTCCAATAACATGAACCTAATATTTATAGCAAATTTTACAACATTTACCTGAAGTAACCGGTAAGATACTTGAAATAGGTGACAGAGCTGATGACACAACACTGGTACTAGAAACAGAGGGGATTACACTTGTGGAAATAGACCTACACGTAGCAACACTTATAACGGGTAACATAGCACTGGTTACAATGGTGGTAGTTGACAAAGACGTACCAACACTGGTGACAACAGATGGGACAATGATTGGTGAAGCACAAGTAGTGACAACAGAGGGAATAAAACTGGATGAAACAGAAAAAACAGGAGGCTCAAAATGTGTGGAAACAGGTGGTAAAACAGTAGTCACGACAGATGAGACAACAATAGACGGTGGGACATTGGGATGAGTTGATGAAGCTGAAGCTGTTGCTGTAGCTGTTGATGAAGCTGTGGCTCTAGCAGTTGATGTAGCTGAAGCTGTTGATGTACCTGTAGCTAGAGTGCCTTAAATACACACCATTAAAAACCAAGAATAAGTAACATTGTCATATAAACTTATACAGAAAGAAACCAGTTATATTTAAGTGATTCTGTTGGCCAATCATAATGTTTACAGCGCATCTGAGCATAACTATCAAACGTTTAACAATATATAAGCAAAAATTAAGGTTAAGATAATTTTTATGTCCTCTGTCAAATTTTGGCATCAGCAAGATTCCAGCAAGATTCCCAGTCATTGTTTCACCTTTTAATCCCCAATATCTACATACAACTTCTCCAAACGGATCTCCATACATTTCCTTGAAGACGGAATTGAGAGAATTTCATAAAAGATCAAACCATTCTCTCTTTGATGATCAATTCATTAATTCTCACAACCTAGCTTATCTCTTGATAATGTATGGATCCTGTTAGGAGAAAATTGATGTTGGTCACTATTGGGACTTAAACGGTTAAAGGAAGCTTTGGTCACGTGATCTCAAAGTGCTAGTGGTCTTTGGAACAAAAGGCGATAAGCAATGGAATAGAATTTCAAAATCCCCAGCCCCCAAGATCAAAAACATAAGCAAAGAAATACAGGGCACCTTAATTGCCTAGTGGCACCGTGAAAATTGCAAAATTAAAATTTTGGTCATCACATATTTGAATATAAAAGTTTCTGATAAAATGTCTACCAGTGCACGGTGTTAATGCATTAATGGTAGGTCCATAATGACTTGTTATCGATTTATCTTTTATAAGTACAAAAAAAGATGAACTCTTACTTGTAGAAGTTTGCCCGAATCGGAAATAAAACTTGTTACTCCGGGATCGGGCGAAGATCCTAAAAATCTCCCTGCCACCCGGCACTCTGCCTGTTATTATCTTCTCCATGTCGTGCCCTTTTTTTTGGGATTTGTAGCATCGAATTCTAGGAAGAAAAATAATACATACATGTGTTAAAGCTTAGTCGTTGATGATCTAAGTTACAGTATGATTTCATAACATCAGATCAAATTAAGTTTTTCTCAATTTTAAAATCTCTCATGGCCATCCCAATACAAAATGTTTAGTTCCCATCGCTCCGTCTCTTGTCGGTCGGTCGGTCTTGTCAATGGCCACAGGCAGCGATGGGGAGAACTAAGGCGAGAACGACCATTCATTCGTCCCCAGTTTTCGTTGGTTTTTCCTTAAACCACAGCTTACCCAAGCTTGAAATCTGAGTATCGTCATAACCGTCGAATATGGTAGCACACGTGAAAAAGGCGATAAATCGGCTCGATAGCCGCTTATTATAGGCCTGACTGAGCGTGTTCTATATTTTTAAGAAGAGAGACAGTGTCTACATAAGAAAAGACGGAGATGGGAAATAAGAACAACGACAACAACTTGATTGACCGCTTAAACACAAAAAAGAAGAAATAATTCTAAAAGGTAGCTTGCGTAGCATGGTGCCCTCGCCCTCCTTTATTATTTGGTGCGCCCAACCAAAACCGCCATGCTACGCAGGCTGACTAAAAGGGGGTGTTGACTTCCTGAAAAAATGTGGACAAGGTACTTGCCCGCAAGAAACATCCCTTCTGAATTTAGTGACTGCACATTTCTAGCGTTTAAGCTTCTTTTGAAAATAAAAAAAAACATTGGTTGGAAAATTAGAATGTAGGCGAACTCGTACAGCATGTGTTCGTCTTGGTGATCACTCGTTTCTGACCAAACTCGCATCAAACAGTGGAAGCAATCCATTGTTTCGGGGACGTTTTTATTTAAAAAAACCATTATTTGAAACCGTATTGTTGACACTAATAACTATGGATGGTTCGATCGCTTATGCTCGGGACGGAATGAGCCATAATCACGATACATGTAGTTTCTATTCGTATTCAACGAGATGAAAACAAACGCCGGGTATTCTGGCCTATTTATTGGTATAAAGCCTAACAGTCTATAGAGTTACCTTGTAAAGTCAGCAAGAGCCAGTTGAGGGAAGTTCTTCCTAATGATATCCTTAACATTCACTGGTGTGTGGTTCCTTGCTATATTCACATCTTTCACACGGCCTTCTCTGTTCAAAAGGTCCCATTGCCGGCCTTTGGGAGTCTTTCCGGGATTTTTGTCAATCCAAACAAAAGTGAGCTGTTTCTCCGTTCCAGGAGCAATAACACCACTATTATCATTCTCTGGAGAAGATGGAATCTCGTCACCACTGCTGACTAGCAACGCCATCATCGAACTGTGGTAAGAGAGATAGGCGAGATGTTCTCCGCTTAATATTTGATGGTAATAGAACGCCTATTGTAATGGGAACATGACAAGTTTCTATTGTTTATTATTATAAAGGGCGGTAACAAGTCACTTGTGAATAAAAGAACATTTATGTCCTCCTAAAGGTTCTAAAGATGCCAAAGACAACTGAAAGCAGTTTACAAGTAAAATGTAAAATAATAAATTTTAAAAATTGCTCTTAAATAAAGTCGCAGATTTTTTTTCTATCACAAAGCAAAATCTTCGCCGTGTACATGTCGCATTCTAATGCTGTCTCAAAATACTATTGAAACTTTCTTCAATAACTATGCATATTAATCATTTGCTTAATTGACATTTGCTTACAAAGGTGTGAAGATCCTGTTTCAAAGACATACGCCAATGTGAATATCTTCAGTTCTGGTGACGATTTCGCGCGAAAATGTCAGGATTAAGTTCGTTCCTTTGCGAGATGGTTGATGCAAGTAATGTGGACACCAGCTTATTTTGTCCAATTTGGTAAGAAGAAATTGACAGTTTAAGTATTATCTCAGTATTGGCAGGAAAAAGAGTGATTTTTCTTAACCAGCGCTAGTTTTCCGCCCGTGTACCGAATCTATCTTCAATCTCATCTTCCCTGGATTAAGCGTTTTGCAATTGCGCAAATTGTCCAACTTGTAGACTCAAGACCGCGATCGGTCGCCTATCTTTGAGTCTGCTCGATTCTATACAAAATTACGGATATCGATGTGACTTGTACTCAGCTTGTGTCCTGGGAATTGTTGTTGTTGTTGTTCTTGTATACTTGATGGGCTCCTGATAGATCGTATAGTAAAGCGTGGCATGATAACATTATTCTAATAACCCCGGTTAATAACCAGGTCCCGGTTGTTCAAACGTCTGACAGCGCCATCTACCGGATTAATCTCTATCCTGACCGGAGACTGCAATCTCTCTTCAGTTTAGGACTTTACGCGAGCGTGAGCCGTAGAAACGAGAGAGACGAGTGCCTTTCCCGCCTCACGCCTTCAGCCACGCCCGTGATCATTTTTATGTCTCGCGGGTTTCGCTCAAAAGGACAAGAAAAAGGAGACACTGCTCGTAGTCTATCCGATAAGTATCAGAGGAACTAATTGCCTTATCCACTGGATAGGGATTATTCTAGAGGACAGAGCTGTCCACCTTTTGCTGGAGCCAGAAGATTAGTTAAGTCTGTGGTGCGGGCCAGGAGCCGATTACTGGTAATCGGCCCCTGTGCAGGCTAAAGAAATATAGGCTCAAGAGAGAAACCGGGTGGGCTTGAGGTCGAAGCGTCTCCCTATATTTCCTTTTTAGAAACGAAGGAAAGTACTCTAAGGAACTTTTGTTTTGTTTTTAGCAAGGAGCTGATGAATAAACCGGTATCCCTTTCATGTGGCCACAGCGCTTGTAAGGATTGCATGTTACAGTTAGTGAGGAGTCAAGGACGTTCAAAAAGTTGCTCGCTTTGCCGGGCTACGATCAATCAAACCCAGTTCAACATCTCAGTTCCTCTGCAGGCAATCATTGCCAGGATCAAGGTGCAATGCACTGTTCCGGGATGTTCCTGGAGTGGTGAACACCAAGAAAAGGAAAGCCACCAAGCACAATGCGAGTATTCCGAGAGGAAATGCCAGCATGGTTGCGTGGGTTCATTTCGCCTCGCCCAGCTGAATGATCACAACAGCATTTGCCCATACAAAAGAGTAAAATGTCGGTTCTGTGGGGGAATGTATCATCGTTTCAGCCTTCCCACACATGAAGAAAGTTGTGTAGAAGCGCCACAGCCTTGCCCGCTGAATTGCGGAGAGTGTATTCCAAGGTTAGTTAGGTTTTAAAGAAAGTTTGTGTTGTTATGAGGGGCAAAGGGTCCTTATTTTAAGTCGTTAGCTCAGAAAGTGTACGCAGTAGACAGTTTTGTTTGTTGAGGACGTAAAAAAGGGAAAATGTAGCATAAACAACGGTTTGCATTTAAAAGTTAATCGAGTAGCTAAGAAAAGTATCAATTCAGAAACACTCCTTTTTTTCCTCTTTACCTCTTTTCAAATATCAAATCTATCTTGGTTTAAGAAAGACTACTGAACAAAAGTTATCAAGGTGTTGTCGATTGTACTCACTATCGCTTTGATACAAAGTCTCTTGATTGAAAGTCTCTCGTCTTATATTTACACTGATCTTGCAACGCAGTCAGTTGAGGATGACTTTATTTTCAGATCTCATGTTCCAGTACACCTCTTTACATGCGAAGAAAAAGCACTGAAGTGTGAGGTTAAAGGATGCAATAATTACGTAAAGAAACGCCATGAATTTCTTCACGATCGGCAATATGAACAGAGCCACCAAGTCCTTTTAAAAAGCGAGGTAGAGATTCTCCGCTGTAGCATGTTTGAGCAGGTATGTATTCCTTTCACTTGCCTACCAGTTAGTCCGTTTGATGGCTTTAGGTACGGTTGGATGGATGGATGGTGGAATGAATAAGTGAAGGCATGAAGGAATGAATGAACGAATGAATGAAAGAAAGCGTGGATGAATACTATCGCAAAAACAGAGGAGCAGACTTAATAGGTTTAGGTCGACACCTTAAATTGTGTTGGGGATACACTTATTAGGAACTTCACAGGTTTGCTTTGTTTAAGAGGCCCTTTCCAGCTTGCCATTCACATGGTACAAAACCGCCGTGCTGGAGAGCAAAAGTCGCACTGAGACAAGACAGATAAAGGGAATTACCATTTAAAATTATGTATGTGTTTGTTTGTCTTGTCCCAGTGCTACTTTTGCTCTCCAGTACGGCAGTTTTGTACAACAAGAATGGTTAGCTGCAAAAAGCCTATTTTGTCGTTATAGCTTATCAGTGAGTGGTTAAACAAATTAAGTGGATTAAATCTCCCAATATTAAGTGACCACCCCAGATGCGATGATTCAGTGGTCGCTTGCTGTCTGTCTCTAGTAGAGGTACTGAAATGCCTCTGTTGGACGAGATTTTACAGCGAGAAATAAATTACGAGATGGATATAGTTGCATGTCGTATGGCAGCCACACGGGTATGAAAACCATGTAACTCCCCAAAAGTGGTCGCGAAAAAGAGGTGGTCGCTTAGGAAAGTTTTTAACTGTATTGATTTGGTGAGGTCAACTTCGAGTGTTGAATATGTGGTAGCTTATGGGAACTGATCAAATATGGATGATAGACTACTAACTTAGTTTTTCTATCAAAGGTGACCGTCAACACTAGGCGCGTGATCAAACAAATACAAGTATTCAAGTGGGAAGTGGGGGAAGTGAAAACGGGAGAGCTAAAAGCAGTGGCCTGTCCAATGTTTGGTTTCGACCGAAACCAATTTATCTGCAGGTGGGACCAAAGAGGCAGAAAAATCTACCTTCACAAAGTCACTGGTTTGAGACCTATCACTGTGAAAGCAAGGTAAGTCTTCTAGTCAACGGGGTTTACAGATAATAAGATGCTTTGCAAAATACTTCTACAGAACATGCTGTAAAAGAAAGAGAGATCGTAACCTTAAGATCATAACTTAGCAGAGCATTATCTCTTTTACTACTACTATCTTGTCGATAAAGCCTGATACTTGTGCGTTATTGACCATAAATTTGTATCATTCTGTTTATCACTTGGATGCAGGCGTTATGCTTTGGTATTGTCAGAAAGAAGCAGTGAGCAGAAGCTACTAACCTCAATTGACCTTCTTCCTTTAAGAAACGACTGTTTATAGTAGAAAAGGATATTAACACCTTAAAATTAACTTTCATCTACAGGTTTGCATTCCTGTCAGGAGGGAAACTAAATGTATTTCCAACCCCATCACCCTCGACCCTTTGTGAGGGGCAGATTGTGGAGACTAGCGTGGATACCGTGCATGGCCATGACGTCGTCATTCACATTATTATTATTGAGTTTAAACACGAGTGACGGTGTTTCTTTATGTTCCTGGACTACCGCGTACAGAAAGTGCCAATAGACTAAAAATGTTTATTATATTACCATTAACAAGACATTTCTACCTGACCGTCTTAAGACAATTGGGTCTTTTTCAATTTAGAAAATGACCATATCTTAAGAATTTTTTTTTAGTACAACCGTTCCGCTGATCGTACATTTCAAGAAAACGTTGTGTACTTTTAATTAAAAAAATACACATTTTCAGGTTATGGGCACTTCAACACAGGCGTGTCAAAAATGAAATGATCTTTTTGTACCTAAACAGTCCAGCACTAGTACTCTCACGTAACGGAAAATGAAAAAGCCCTAATCGGTTTGTTTTTCTTGACCCAAAACCACAAAAGCCAATTTTGATCCATCATTACGTTTATCTGCAAAGGGCTACTTATTTTGATTTTGTTCAGTCTTTTTCCCCATCATACATTTAAACTTTACATCTTTTCAAAGCGTGTGTATAAATTTTATTCCAGTTTGCTAATAAGCTCAACTCTTGACCTCTAAACTGTGTCCGACAAGTTCTCATTGTGACGACTGATTCCTATATTGCAGAATTCACCTTGTTGTGGGTTTATTCTGCTTTGTTTTTCGATTAAATTACCTCCGATCTTTAGAACAGCGTTATGAGTTGTGGTCATTTTCTAAAGTTTGATTATTGTAAAGTATGTTTTTAGGTTACTTTTCCCACAAAAAAAAGTTTTTATAAGAAATAAGATCAATGTGGTTGAAGTCGTTGAAATGTTTCAGATAATTTTCAAGCCTTGATTTTAATAGACATGACGAGACCGAATTGCGGAAGCCTATCACTGATTGTATTTCAATTTTTAAGGGACAGGATGTAAGTGTGTCTGTTTATTAATCAAGGGAGCGGTTCCGTCAATAGAATAAAGATATTTCAAAGGCAAATTAAACTTATGAAGAAGTTTCCCATTGTGTTGTGTTTAATTTTGAAGGGAAAAGAAAGTTGGGAGAACAAAAAATAAGGGCTCTTTATCTAGGTGACACTGATCAGGGAAAGGTTTTAATATTAAACAACGGCATCGTGCATAATATCTCCAGCGAGGTTGCTTAGGCCCTTTTCAAACGTCGTGCTACTGCCGTGCCGAACTCAATTCAACGATTATGAATACATTAGAATACATTTAACAGTTTCCTTAACCGTTTCTTTATTTTTGTGTTGGGCTTTCGGCAAATTCGACTGATTTAGCAAAAGGACGGAAACCAAGACCCAAAAACCACACCCTTTGGGCCGGCACATACCTATATGGCTTATATAAGGGACTATCCCGGATAATAACTAAAGGTAACTTCCGATGCATTATTAAAATCCCCGCTAAAATTACGTGTTAAATTACTCCCCGGAGACTTCACGCCGTTAATATACGCGTTAAATCCCCGGCTTAGGTGCTTTAATTCCTGCTCTATTACGGGGGTTGTGGGGTGGGGATTTCATTTGATTAGTGCATGAATTTACAGACTCAGACACACAGACATCTATACAGAGAACAATAAAAACCAAATACAAGTACGGTATTACAACTGAATATAATATAAGGCGGCCTGTCATCTATTTTAAATACTGATAATCAAGACCACGAAAGACATTTCTTGTGTACAAGAAATACAGAAGGAATGTGTTGCAATTCAAGCAAATGTAAAGAGCTGACGAAAAAAAAGAGAGGCAACCGCGATCTCTATTCATCTATCGGGATGATACCAAGCTGTAAAGAAGTAGAGTTTTTGGGCGTCGCCTTCCAGATGTGACAGGGGAACAATCAGTCGGAAATAGACCTTCTCTTTAATACAATAGTCCTACCTAAATTTCTGGTCTGAGGTTATAAAATGGCTTGTTGATCATAAAGCCAAGATTGAAAATCTTTCAGACAAAGATATACTGTTTGGTATTATTGGATGTGAGGACGAGATATTTGTGAATCATATTTTATTACTGGTAAAACATTATCTATACTCTTGTAGACAGAACAAATATCCTCCCTCCATTAGAGTTCTTCATTCCAAAATTAATACTGTCTTCTTAACAGAGACAATGATCGCTAAGTCAAACAATAACGGCCTGTTTACATGGAGTGGGGGAACCCGGTCTAGTGGGGTTGGTTGCTTTTGTTTTCACGCTCTGGGGGACACAAAACAAAAGAAACTTACCCCACTAGGCCGGGGTCCCCCACTACATGTAAACAGGGTCTAAGTTGGAGACCCACAATATGAAATGGAGCAAATATAAATCTGATTAGCATACGATCTCTTAATTAATCTTTATTTTTTATTTATTTTATTTTACTTTTTTTTCATGTAAATAGAAAAGAAGGTACTGGGGTTTGTTTCGTTTGTTTCTTTTTTGTAAGTATGTAATTGTGTGTTAATCTGCGATGTATAAATGTTTAGTTTTCCTTTCCTTTTTTTGTATTTTTCCAACGTGTTGATAAGTCAGTGTGTAAAAAAATGTAATACATAATAAAACAAAAATTCATTAAAATACGCACACAAAAAAAAATAGTCCTACCTAATATCAATTACGCATTATCTGTCTACGTCGAGTCCGAGTTAAGATTTCTTAGAGAGGCAAGACTATAATTATCAAAAAAAGTTTCTAATGCTAAAGAACATCCATGCGCTTTTATCTATTATGCCTCGTGTTAAACTATCCAGTTATAATCATAGGAAAAAAACTTGTTTCAAATCTAAGGTTAACACTATGATGATGATTTCTATTTTAAAAGAGTAAATTACGAGTTCAAAGAAACAATACACTAAATCTGGAGTGCAAAGAAGTCCGTGATCAGTTTTTAGAAAACCTCAAATTTTCCATACATTTTCTGTAATTTTGATACTAGCTTTAATTGAATTTGAATTTAAATTTAGCTGCTATCCGTATTATCGGGTTAATTGCCGCTAAAAGTAAGGTGTCCTTCAGGCGCAAGGTGATTGTATGAGAAAAACATTTTTAAGATTTTAATAGTAGCACGGGTTACGAAGAAGTCCGATTTCATAACCTGTGATGGTATGTCCAGAGATATAACAGGATTCGCTTGCTTTACTAAAACGTTAATTAGCTAGGCTTTCAAACAGCTTTCTGGGTATAGTGGAGCCTTGAGTTGCGTCCACCCCTTGTAAGCAAACAGTTTTCCAAAATGTTATAAGTTTACATTACTATATTTGGATAGGAACCTGACTGACACCTCTTGGAAGCGACCATGACCACTTTTAGAGTTAAAAATTTGAAATTTGCTTTTTTTTTTTCTTAACTCTCGTAAGCGATCACTTGACAGATAATAGAGGGGAAAATTGTATAGTGCTGAGTATTTCTTATCTAAAGTAGCTCGAGCAATCATCTCTTGACTTCTTTTTTAGGAAAAAAGGAAGTACATTAACTTTGTATCTAGTGCAGTATAAGTTACCAGACACGAACCTTGCTTCTCTTGAAACCA